ATTGTTGTTTACTGTATACCTACTTATAGGAATTTGATACTAAATAAATAAATTTCATTTCATTTCATTTCATTTCATATATATGTACATATAATAAACTTCTGAGTTGAATTTGTACATTAAATATTTTTGGAGAATCTTAAGTAATCTGAATCTATAGTTTTTAGATTTTTTGTCTCTCTGTCTATCTATCTGTGACCGCATCACGGTAAAACTACTGGTGGGATTTTGATGTTTGATAAGGATGGCTGGTTATCCGGGTCAACATATAAGATACTTTTTACTGCGGCAAAATATCTAATATCTGAGAAATCTATACTAAACGTAGAAATATCCAATATAATATAACAACAAAGATAAGATACACAAAACAATCCATTCTTATCAGAAAAAAACAAAAGTATTCGTAGCGGTGTGGTGACCTAATTTTAAGGCTCTGGCGGCCTTCTTATCCCTTTCTTAATACCCATTTCATATCGTGTTATATACTATTATTAGACGATAAAATCAATACGATGTTACTATTATCTTGTTTCGAATAATCTATTTATGACTCGATAGATTTTCATGTCATTAAAAATAAATAGGTTACAATATCTCATGGTTTTTTATATAGGACCATTATATACGTATAAAAAAATAAAGCCATAAGGGTGTAATAAGTACATTTAACCTTTAAGTAAATTGATAAGGCATTTTATGGTTATGAAAAAAACAACAAAAACAGACAAACCTATGGGCAAAAGCTTGTATAACTAGACGAGGTCAAATTGCTAGAAATAGATAGATGAAATACAAAACCTCTAACACAAATATTAATTTGTCTGGCTCTTCATTATGAGATCACTTAGTTGCTGTCACCTCACATTGCTTTTGTTATAGCAAGACTTAGTACGAGTGATGAAAAATTATATTATCAGACCATTAACTTGCCGTCTTTATCATGCCTTACTGAGATTTTTTCTTCTTTCTTCTATAAATCAAAGCTGATTTTGTTTTGACTGGGTAGACATTCAATCTTATTATATACATATCATACATATATGTACATATAATCTGTACATAACACAATATTTTTTGGAAAATCTTATTGAAATAGACATTATTATCGATACAGTGGGCGAATCTATAGTTTTTAGAATTTTTGTCTGTCTGTCTGTCTGTGATCGCATCACGGACAAACCACTGGGGGGATTTTGATGAAATTTGGTATGAAGATAGCTGGTTATCTGGGTCGAAATATATAATACTTTTTACTGCGGAAAAATATCTCATCTCTGAGAAATCTACACTAACCGTTAAAACGTACCAAAGGGACGAAACCGAGCGGAGGGAGGGTGAGTCGCTAGGATATTATAAAGATAACATAATTTCTATTACAAATAAAAATAGAATTTTCATGACAGAGAAAGATATATAATTTTCGGAATGAATGAGCGAGACCTATTATAATTTTGGCTCTCACACGCCACGCGTTACCATGGTAACACTTAAATAAACGAATAACTAAGGGTGAGATTTACAGTCCTAACTTTAATTCAAAGTTATCTTTGGAAAGACAACTTTATAGTCCAAAGTCTTCTCAGACCATACATATGTATAATAAAATTCTAACTCTATACATTAAATATTTTTTGAAAAATATTATTGAAATATTCATTATTATCGATACAGAGGCCGAATATATAGTTTTTAGAATTTCTGTCTGTCTCTCTGCTTTCTGGAAACGCATTATATAGTTGACATTTTCATCACCTGAATAAATTGAAATGACTTGTTCTGTCATAATTTGATATTGATGCAAGCTTATATGTAACTTATTCGCATTGTCAATTTAAAATCTACTTTGATTCCAGAATAACCAAAAATTGCTGCTGATGCTGATGTTTTTAGTCCGAAAAGTAGGAGTTTTTAAAGTAAAATACGCGTTTGAAACATTCCTTTTGCTAAAAGTAGCATTTTCTCAAGCAGTAAAGTGTAAGTACGATCTATGAATCTCGCCCTAAGACGACTCTCAACGTAATAAATTACTTAATAATGATTCTTGGCAGATTTTGTACAGAAATTATATCAAAAATCCTTTCATGTCAATTGATTAAACTTAAGATACGTTTATAATTTAAAAGCTAAATATCTACAATTCAAATTTCTAGTTGATATAAATTTAATGATATGTTTATATATAAATAGTTATAGATCTTTTTGTGTGTTTGTTTACCGCACTGGTTGAATTTATTTCTATAAGACGGTGTTTTTGTAAAGATAGTTATATAACTAAAGCATGCGTTATACTTAATGGTTAAAGCCTCAAATAATTAAAAATTCCGGACAAGTGCGTATCGGACTTGCTCACCGAGGGTTCCGTAGAAATTTGTAGGAAATCTGTTTAACTTTTGTTTTCAACTTTTTTTATATTTTGGTTTTTTTCCTTTATTTGTGCTGTAAGAAAGACCTTGTTGTTTGCCAAATTTCGTGATTTTAGGTCAACGGGACTACCATAGAGGTTTTCGGCCCAAAACATGGGCTTACCTAGGTACTTCCGGTTGACCTAGAAATGTCAATTTTGGTTAAAAGCACGGTCTTACAGCACAAGTAAAGTTAAAATTCCTAAAAATAAAAAAGTTGAATATTAAGGTAAATTTTGGTACTTACAAGTTTTCGCGAAAATTAAATTTGCCAATATCTTTTTATCGTGTTGACTCAGGACCTTGATTTTTATACACCTAATAGGGACTATAGACTTCAGTATCTGGTATAAATTTCAACTTGCTAGGTTTAGCCGTTCCTGAGTAAATCGGTAGTGACACACGAACAGACAGACACAGGGAGAGACGGACATGAGAGTGATCTTATAAGGGTTCCTTTTTTTACTTTTTGAGGTACGGAACCCTAAAAAGCAATCGAAGTTGTGTTAAATGGATATTTAACGTAAATTCCTAAGTACAAAAACTTTGCAAGGTAGACATTTTTCAAAAGAACAAAGAAAGAATATTAGAAAAAACTTCTCCATGACTTACAAAACTCTATAAAAACTTTATTCTAAACAAATTATACAAGATAAGTTTTTCTTTAAAAAAAAATAACGAGTACAAAGCCGTTTTCTAAATTCTATTTTAATGTAAGTAAAATTTTATAAGTTATTTCTTAAATGAACTTTAAAACAAATAACTTAGATCCAACAATAACTTTTAGATAATAAACTTACATAACTATACTTAGGCAGTATAATAAAATTCTCAACAACCATTTTAAATAAACAGAACTTGGCAATACAAAACATCTGCAATAGTTAAGACTAGTTCATTCGAAATGGGACTTGAGTTATCCAAAAATTCAATTTTATATAATTTACATTTTGTAGTGAAATTTATTTTATTAGAAGTAGTAAAAATTTCATTACCAACGCTTGGTATATTATATAGAATCTATAATATAGTCCGGGAGATGGCGGTTTAGTAACTTATGTAGATTAAATTTTTGATTGGTCTATCTTCTATGAATTTTAAGACTTTCACTGCTTTTCAAACTAGAGAACTCTTACATACAATGTGTTCTTTGATCTATTTAAATAACTGCCTCATTAGTCTAGTGGCTAGTACATACGGCTGCAGATCCGAAGGGCCTGAGTTCTAGTCCCTGGTCGGGCAAAATATAGTTATTGGGATTTCCTATCAAGAAATTCTCAGTAACAGCCCGAAGTTGGGAAGTTGGCGGTCTTACACCCTCGTGCCTCAGAAAGCTTGTAAAGCTATCGGTCCTGCGCTTGATCTCTCACCGATCGAGTCGAATTGTCATCCCACCGTAATTTAAGAGTAAATGGAATAGAGTTCACTTGTGTCTGTGTATATACTTGTACACTATAATATCTACTGCGCACATTGTTAGTCTCAACCAAATCGGGTTGCTGTGGCTAAACTCAATCAGAAGCACGTTATTGTTATGTACACTAATAATAAAAAAACGGGTTATCTGATGGTTATCATTAAGATACTTCTCTTGCAGCAGCGTGGACCGAGGGAGTAACCACTTGGTTGTGCGGCCTGCTACGGCAGACCTGTCGGGTAGTTGGGGCGTCATAGTTGTTTTAGTTGAGTTGGGGAGGTTCTATTGGGTTTTAGTGGGTAGTACTGGCTTTCTAGCCGGTGAGTCCCACTTAGCCACCAGTATGTATATCTACAGGTGATATACATTAATGTTTTATGTAAACAAACATAAAACATTAAAAAATATGGTTATTATTAAGATATTATTCTAAAATTTACATATTATACGTAGATGAATAGATGAAAGCTTATAAAATCAATTACATATAGCAGCGTCGAACCGCTGGGGAAATCAGTAGCAATGTGTAAAACTGAGATTATTAGTAATTGTTGAAATTCGATGTTATGAATAATAATTTTTTAACTTTGCTAATAAAATCAATTTTATCGTATCTATTTCACCCTAAGACGTGAATTTTTTGAAACCTAAAGACACCATCAAATCGATTTGGAATTAAAGGCGATAAATAAATATGTTGGAACATTAACACACAGCACCATCTAGTCCCATTGTCAGGTAACGAGGCTTGTGTTATGGATACCAGATATTTGATACACTACACATATATAACTATATACATACATATTATAAATATTAACACCAATGACTGAAGTACAAATATTCGTGCTCATCACAAAAATGAATCTCGTCAAAGTACAAAGTACTCTCATAAACGGCATATAACTTAATTTACTATCTTCCCTTTCTGTTTTCAGATGTTAATAAATAGTTTCATGTCACAGACATTAGTTGTATAGTCTGAGATTCACGTTAAACTCTCTTCTCATTCATAATTCATCTTCATTTTCACTCATTTATGTTTCTTAGTACCAGCGGGAACCGTCATCTGAAGATTATACATCCTAACTTTCTTATGGTTTCTGAGATTTTGTATTATGTAACTAATTTAATTATAAGCCAATAGAAGTGGCTGTAGTTTTTTTTAACGTTAAGAAATGGATTTTACGCATAACACCTGCATACATACAGGTGATAATGTGGAGCACCGGCAAGAAAAGCCACAGGACTCGAACCCAGGACCATCGGATGTACAGACGTGCACCCTAGACATTAAACTATCGAGGCAGTGAAGTTCCTTCAGTATAATAATTTTACATGGTCTTTGTGTTCTACATTAGCTTGTTTTATTTTTATTGAAACCGCAGCCCTAATGAGCCTTACTTGGGTGATATACAGAAACTATGCAACTTGAGGTAACCTCATCTCGAACTTTGTTAAAATTAACTGAAACTTATACGTGAGATTAAACTTAATGGTGAACTTTAACTATATTATAATGTAGTGTGGCTAACACGTGCAGCTGCGGATCTGGAGGTCCTGGATTCCAGTCCCAGGTTGGGCCTTTAGTTCAGTCTTTCTGTTTAAAAAGTCTCAGTAACAACTTGGAGTTGGAAAGTTTTGGAAATTTTCTCCCCCGTGCCTCGGAAAGCACTTGTCGCGTCGATCCTGCACCAGATCTCTCAGTGGTCGTGTCAAATTGTGTTCGCACCGGAGTATAAATATAACAAGAATGGAGAGTACATTCATACCCTCTGCTCGTATACTTGTGCATAACGCACAAGTACCCTGCGCAATTGGATAGTCTCAGTGAGATGGGCCGCTGTCGTCGAAATCTCTCTGTCAGTCGAAATCGGGAGGACATCATCAGACATCATTATACATTTAAATTAAAAAAATAACAGCTAATTAGAACAGTTAAAGAAAATAAATCTAAAAACTACTTTGTAACATACATTCAACAAGATCTACACAAAAGTTATTACTATGACCAATGATAATAAAACACGTAGTCCCTCATCTTACAGTATATTATATACCTATATCAGTGTAGTTTATCATGTTAGTGTCACACCCAGTGGGAAATCATTGTACGTCTTAGAGATATTGTAATTGAACACCTCAGACTAAGGAATAATATAGAGTGTCATAGAACTAAACATAAAGTCAAACAATAATGTTTTAAAATAAAATGTAACTTAATAAATAGTATACAAATAATAATATTAATTAAAAAAAAATAAAAACCGACTTCAAAAACACAAAAAATAAAAAATAACTGATTTTTAGTTTTCATTTACTATAGATGTGCGTTGATTTGTATCGGCTGGCACCGACTTCGAAAATATCTTATTTATTAAAAATTATTCTTTTATATTATAAAGAATAATAACCTTGAAGGAGAGATAGTATAAAAATTAAGCCAATATTATGCTCTCTCTGTTGTCTCTGTTTGTTTGTACTTCTTTCACGTCGAAGCGGAGAGACGGATTGGCGTGATTTTTTGCATGGAGATAGTTGGAGGGCTGGAGAGTGACATGGGCTACTTTTTCCTGTGGGAGATTATATAATTCAAACGGGAAAACATGTTATAATACAATCCAAAAAAATATTTATGATCAGAATTACTTGAAACTTGGTATTAATGCTTTTAAAAAAAAATTAAATAAATACGTGTTTTAGCATTTTTTGATATTCATCTTATAAGAGGGTAAAATTCAGGATGAAACTTTGTATGATAACCTTTTAGAGATTTTTTTTTAGTTTTAGCGCGAACGAAGTCGCGGGTTCTGCTAGTTTCCTATATATAATAATAACAATATATTTGTAGTGGCAGTGTTGACGCGCACATTTTTTTTATATAGCATTTGTATCGCGCCACGAACCCCAGGACCCAGTTGTCCCGTAACCGAATACCTATTCGCTTGTCAATTATACCGCTCCGTTTCTCACTTATATTATTATTAAAGTATATATTATGCTAGAGATATTTGTAGCTGACTTAAAGTAAATATAATAAATATATTTAACTTTGGACGTTTGATTATCCCTCTGCATAACTCAACTGTAATGAACCACCCGCATTATTTATCCACATACACTAAATATTATATTCATGTTTCACTAACATTGAAATACTGGCTATAATTCACTTCAAATAGATAGCAAAGTGGTCTAGAATAACCAGATTACTAGAGTTGGTGCATTGTCTTCGATAGAATTTCATCTTCTAGCAACTATCTTTGCTTGCAGCTTAATGGATTTTAAAATTGAGTCTCTATATTTTAAGATCGATACTTTAGAGGTTAAATGGTCTGTGTTGATAGTTTCACACGATTTTCCCTTAAAAGTACTTTAAATTTTTACTATATAATTTGTAGAGCTGTTAAAAGCTAGTTTAGTATAATATGTAGAGTGGTGGTATTTTATTTTTACTTTTGAACACCAGAAGTAACTAACATGTGTACGCATATATTAGTATTTTTTAGGAAAAGGCATCTTTTACTTATAGTATAATAGTCTGAGATAAACGGTCAGGAGGACATCATACGAGTACATTAGTATAGAATAAATATTTTGGGACATTAACACACAGCACCATCTAGTTCCATGGTAAGCTACGAGGCCTGTGTTATGGATACCAGATAGTTGACACTCTACAAATATATAACTTTAAATATATATATATATATATATATATATATATATATATATATATATATATATATATATATATATATATATATAAAAACCCATGACTGGAATACAAACATCACACAAATGAATGCCCCCAGCGAGACTTGTACTTGAAACTTGAACTTTGAAGTAAGAATAAACATATATATTAATAATGTCTTTTTTTTCAGGTAAGTGAGAGTAACTTTAATATTAAAATTAAGTTTGGTAAGTTGAAGATAATATTTATATGAAGGATATTATCACTATTTTCAATCAATCTCACTGGAGTGCGACACAGAATATATTGTAGTGAAAGCTCTATGATACTTACATGACCACAAGGGCTTTATTTCTTTACTTTCATAGTCCATTATGACAACTTACATATTAAAAAGCTCTACGTTTTTCTTAATGGTCACTTCAAAAGCTTATAAAGTCCATTAAGATCTTGATTTATAATAAAAAAATAAAATTCTGTATGTTGTTTTATCGTTCTTTCGCCCAGCAACAACTTTATGGATTGATGTGATTTTTTAAAGAGATACTTTTTAAGCTGGAGATTTATATAGGCTCATAAAATTATCCAGGTCTATTTAGTGATTCTTAAAATATTAAAAAGTCACATAAAATAACTTATCAGATATTATGTATACTAAATTATAAAGAGGCAGAGTTTGTTTGTTTGAACGAGCTAATCTCAGGAACTACTAATCCAATTTGAAAAATTCTTTTTGCATTAGATAGCCTGTTTATTAAGAAATACTATAGACTATATATCATATAATATATAGTCTATCTATTCCATACTAACCGTTATAAATAGGCAAAGACAAAACAGCTTAATACCTTTTTCTACTCCGTTCGTCATAGTAGGGGAGCCCAAGAGGGGATTTTCTGTAGTTACTCGAGCGCGGCAGATTAACTTAAAAGAGGTTACCTTGCACTCTATTGAGTACTTTCACCACAATATAAGTCTTCTATATAAAGGGGCGCGTCTAGGGAGGCCGATTAAAATATTTAAAAAATGTTTTGATAAGGTAAAAATACTTGAAACCGTCAGATTAAGGTGTGGTAGGCTAATCACATCCTGAAAAGTGTCCAATTTAATAATCTGCCGATTTGCACAAGCCTAAGAGGCAAAAATCATCATAAACTTTATAGTCGATTTTTGCCTCTTCGGCTTGTGCAAATCGGCAGATTATTGAATTGGACACTTTTCAGGATGTGACTAGCCTACCACACCTTAATCTGACGGTTTCAAGTATATCTACCTTATCAAAACATTTTTTAAATATTTTAATCGGCTTCCCTAGACGCGCCCCTTTATATAGAAGACTTATATTATGGTGAAAGTACTCAATAGAGTGCAAGGTAACCTCTTATATGTTAATCTGCCGCGCTCGAGTAACTACAGAAAATCCCCTCTTGGGCTCCCCTACTATCAGACGATTTTTTTTTATTATAAGCGATTGACAAGCTTTAGTGTTAACAATAAGAAAGTTTTGGAAGCTGTTATTTTTTTTAATAATAATTATAGTGGCATTTCGACTACTACGCTTATACTAGTAAATGTAGCTGTAAAGACTTTCTAAATTTTACGTGAATATTTATTCCTGTTATATTTAACCCAGAAAATGTTTTGAATTTAGTTTGAAAGTTGCTGAAAAATTCTAAATTTCACCAAATCTCAAAGTATCATATTAAATTTAATGTTTGGAAAGTATTTTCTGTACTCAAATTATATATATCCACTTTGAAAGCTTGCCACCTCTTTACTGCGTTCAGTGATAAAATATATTGCTATTTACTACAGTACTACAAATGTGAGCATTCAGATAACACACAATAAACTGTTTATGTAAGTTATTTAGACAAATATATGTAAATATATGTTTTGATACAAGTTTTTATATAAAAATTTAACCGAAATTATGGTCACATTGTACATGACGTTATGAATTTATCCCCTGGTACAATGGTAAAAAAATTGTATTTATCTACCACCGATTCCAAAAGAAAATGCTTCTGTGTTGCATAAAAGAAACAAAAATAAATTTACCGAGTCTAAATAAAGTTACATTACAAGGATTATCCAACTTCAAAAGAGCCTGGAGACAATCACATCATTCATAGGGTACATTACCTCTCATAACAACACTTATTACACACATCTCGTAGTATAGAAACATTCTTGCTTATTTTTAAACTAGACCTTACCTGCTTGGTAGATTATAACAACTTAGTTATATTATAGGGGTCTTTCTCTCTCTCTCTCTCTCTCTCTCTCTCGTCCTCTCTTTCATTCTTCTTTATAGTAGAAATGAGCGTGTAGTATTGAGTATTTTATAGGATAAACGCAAATGTGTGCGTAAGTCTCATATAACGATACGTCCAATGAACCAATAAGCGAGCGTCAAATCTTACGCACACTAAAACAATATGCATATACACGTTGAACAACTACATAAACACCTTCCGTGAGATGAATGGATATTAAAGTCATAAAACCGACTCAGTTGACCGTCTCTTAAAGAATGAAAATAAATTCATTAAATTTGAATTGTAAAATTTTAATTTTACAACCTCCTGTCAACTTTTAACGGCACACCAAAATTCTAGGTAAGTTAGAACAGGAGATTATACTCGTTTATTGAAGGAAATTCTTGCAGGGAATTTCAAGCTGTGGTCCGAATTTATATGATAGGTACATAACCAATTCGCACAGCAGAGCTCTTAAGTAAAATTTATAAAGACCCTATAGACCCTTAGATTGTATATTTTTTCGGATGTTTCACGCGGTTTTATTTTAATATTTTGATCTCAACTTTTTAAGAGACTGTCTCTCCCGTCTGTCTCCCGACCATGTTTTGTTGTGAAGCATTCAATGTACTTTTTAACCATAGAAACTCTATATCTATACATATAATAAAATTCTCAGTCGAATCTGTACATTAAGTATTTTTTTTGGAAAATCTTATTGAAATAGTCATTATATCGATACAGACGCCGAATCTATAGTTTTTAGAATTTTTGTCTGTCT